CTGTGCCACGGGTTTATTGCCTCTGCTCTGGATTCATGCCCACACCATCTGTACAGCATGTGTCCCTGGAATATATATGTGAAATCAGCCAGCCTAACTCAGATTACCTGTCAGCTCCTCCTCTTCCTCTGCCTCACACTCAGAAACCATGACTACATTAGGCGTCAGTTTTAATCTATTTTAAGACACCGTTATTAGGAATAGCACACACACACACACACACACACCCCTCAGTGTTATCGCATGTCTGTGTAAATAACACCAGACTCAGGCATCAACTAATCTCAGAGAAGTCAAATACCTATATATAAATCTTATTCCAGTTGTCCTGCAGACTGTGTGCTCACAGACTGTACCTGTGCTTATATCAGGTTTATTCTTGGCTGGATATCTGTACCTGGATTATTGCCACTTTGTTTTTTTTCTGGTGCTCCAGGACTTTATAATAATCATACTGTGTATCCACTGTTTTATATTCATACATTTCCACCACTCTATCCTGTTAAGAGTTGAGGAGCCCGAACCAATTCCATCTGACATTCAGGAGAAGGCCACGCACAGGTCACCAGTCCATCACAGTGTAACATACTGACAACAACCACCATTTATCTCCGCCGTCAACTGAGAATCTTTTATTTATATGTGTAGAGATAAGAATTCACATATATATCTATATGTACACATATATGTATATATATGTGTATGTATTTTTTATATATTTATATGTTTGTATATATGTATACATACATATATACATATATAGACAAATATATAAACAAATACACATATTTATATGTACATATACTGTATAGATAGATCTATACATACACATATGTACATATATGTGTGTGTATTTATTTATATATTTGTTTGTTTATATGTATACATACATGTATACGTATATATACACAAATATAAATATATAAACAAATACACATATTTATATGTACATATACTGTATAGATAGATCTATACATACACATATGTACATATATGTGTGTGTATTTATTTATATATTTGTTTGTTTATATGTATACATGCATGTATACATATAAACAAACAAATATATAAATAAATACACACACACATATGTACATATGTGTATGTATAGATCTATACATACACATATGTACATATATGTGTGTGTATTTATTTATATATTTGTTTGTTTATATGTATACATGCATGTATACATATAAACAAACAAATATATAAATAAATACACACACACATATGTACATATGTGTGTGTGTATTTATTTATATATTTGTTTGTTTATATGTATATATACTGTATAGATAGATCTATACATACACATATGTACATATGTGTGTGTGTATTTATTTATATATTTGTTTGTTTATATGTATATATACTGTATAGATAGATCTATACATACACATATGTACATATATGTGTGTGTATTTATTTATATATTTGTTTGTTTATATGTATACATACATGTATACGTATATATACACAAATATAAATATATAAACAAATACACATGTATAGTAATATGTACATATACTGTATAGATAGATCTATACATACACATATGTACATATGTGTATGTATAGATCTATCTATACAGTATATATACATATAAATATGTGTATTTGTTTATATATTTATATTTGTGTATATATACGTATACATGCATGTATACGTATATATACACAAATATAAATATATAAACAAATACACATATTTATATGTACATATACTGTATAGATAGATCTATACATACACATATGTACATATGTGTATGTATAGATCTATCTATACAGTATATATACATATAAACAAACAAATATATAAATAAATACACACACACATATGTACATATGTGTGTGTGTATTTATTTATATATTTGTTTGTTTATATGTATACATACATGTATACGTATATATACACAAATATAAATATATAAACAAATACACATGTATAGTAATATGTACATATACTGTATAGATAGATCTATACATACACATATGTACATATGTGTATGTATAGATCTATCTATACAGTATATGTACATATAAATATGTGTATTTGTTTATATATTTGTCTATATATGTATATATGTATGTATACATATAAACAAACAAATATATAAATAAATACACACACACATATGTACATATGTGTATGTATAGATCTATACATACACATATGTACATATGTGTATGTATAGATCTATACATACACATATGTACATATATGTGTGTGTATTTATTTATATATTTGTTTGTTTATATGTATACATGCATGTATACATATAAACAAACAAATATATAAATAAATACACACACACATATGTACATATGTGTATGTATAGATCTATACATACACATATGTACATATGTGTGTGTGTATTTATTTATATATTTGTTTGTTTATATGTATACATACATATATACATATATAGACAAATATATAAACAAATACACATATATAGTAATATGTACATATACTGTATAGATAGATCTATACATACACATATGTACATATGTGTGTGTGTATTTATTTATATATTTGTTTGTTTATATGTATACATACATATATACATATATAGACAAATATATAAACAAATACACATATATAGTAATATGTACATATACTGTATAGATAGATCTATACATACACATATGTACATATGTGTATGTATAGATCTATACATACACATATGTACATATATGTGTGTGTATTTATTTATATATTTGTTTGTTTATATGTATACATACATGTATACGTATATATACACAAATATAAATATATAAACAAATACACATATATAGTAATATGTACATATACTGTATAGATAGATCTATACATACACATATATCTACATATATGTGTATGTATTTGTTTGTGTATATATGTATACGTAGATATATACGTATATATACACAAACAAATATATAAACAAATACACATATATAGTAATATGTACATATACTGTATAGATAGATCTATATATACACATATATATGTACATATATGTGTATGTATTTATTTTTGTTTATATGTATACACACATATATACGTATATATACACAAACGTAAATATATGAACAAATACACATATATATTTATATGTACATATACTGTATAGATAGATAGATAGATTTAGTGTTAATTCATTTTGGGAACTAAGGCCACTAGCGGACTAGTAGTTTTGCTAGTTTTGGTTTGTGGATTCCTGATGTCTAAAAGACTTTCCTATTTCTCCTCATCACGTGACAGAAGTTACTCTAATGAGGCGACACATCTGGACCACAGGCAGGTCAGTCACGTACATCTATACTGCCTTTTATCATTCTTATTGACCTGCTTAAAAATATTTTCAAAAACCAACCTCTAGTGCACTAGCTTTTATACAGTAGCATTGATAAATAAAGCGTTGAAACAATGATGTTATAAGTTAAATGTGATCTCCACTCACTCACTCACTCACTCACTCTCAACACACACACACACAAATGCACCTTGAGCAAAGTACAATACAGTATCAAAACAACAGTCGGCCCACGCAGTGTTGTCACCAGATACATGTTATTACTGCCATATTAACAACGACGTAACCCACATATTTTGTCGTTCACAAAGACAGATCTGATCTGTGTAATGGATTCACGTCTTTACCAGACACTGAACAACAGACGTTATTTATCACTTGTCTATTTGTTTCTGGATTTTTTCTTTTCTCCGAGTTCACATTGAAGTAGCCGCTTCACCTTTGACTCAATGTCAAATTGGAAACAGGTCATTAAGAAATGAATGGGAGATTAACAAGGGTCTGATTAAACCTCCTTCTAAGCCATCATTCAACTTAATGAGCACTTCCATAAAATATGGATACGCCAATGAAATATGTATACATCCACAGTCCCTGGCGTTAAAGAGACCCAAGTTTCCAGCGTCACCGCGGTCGCAGTGACATCATCACAGGCTTTATAAATCAGTAAAGTCGGATGGCTTCAAGACGGGCATAAAGAATTTACAGACGTGAGTGTTTGCCTAATGTACAGTAGACAAAAAGCCACCTCTGGTTCTCTTCTGATTGCACTGATGGAGGCTGTGATTCACTCATTACATCCAGCAGATAGTGACTGATGGGTTTAAACAGCTGACACTGTGGCAGTGGCTGGAGCCCCCAAATCCCCAGGGGGGTTTAAAAAAAAAAAAAAAAAAAAAGAAGAAGAAATCACAATTGCAGTGTTTTTGATGAATTATGCAAAGTGAGGCATCTATTATTGAGCCTAACAAGAGAAAGCTACGGCAATTACAGTGCAGTGCAGATGTGTTGCGGCCAAGAATCCTCCGGAATCAGAGTCTGCCACCAGGACTGGGACGATAATCAATGAATCAATCAATAAATTAATCACCAAATAAATGACAATTAAGTCGATAATTTTGCCGGCCTCGATATATTGCCATGTGTATGCCTGTTTGTTTTCCTCTTCTATCACCTCCAAACAGACTGGACGACATGAAGGTTTGTTCCATGGCAACGGACGAGCCAGAATACTGAATTTGTACGAAAGCGCTAGCAATAAAATAAGGCAACCCAACAAAGTTGCAATTTTCCCAGCCGGGGTAAAAAAAATGCACCTTGAGCAAAGCTTTTGTCCTGACAGTCGACACTGAGGGGTTTAATCGACAAAAGAAAATACAAACTGAACAGTGCAATATGACATGCGCTCAGACAAAAAAGTGTAATTCGCTACTTCACAGGACTTTAACTCCCATCAGGCTTTAGAATATATATTTTTTATTAGAGGCCGACTGAGTGGACTGAGGGGCATTTAGGTTCCATAGGAAAATACGAGGGGCATTCAGGTACCGTTGGAAATTTGAAAATCAGAAAAATATATTGCATTTGAAAGGGTGTACTTGCATATTTACGATATATTATTATGACATCAGTGGTAAATTTGGCCTCAAAGTAATAACACTACACATTTGTGGGACAATATATCATCCAACCATGTGTACTTGCATATTTATGATATATTTGTGGGACAATATATCATCCAACCAGATTTGTTATCGTCACAGGCCTATCTTCCCACTCTTTTTCCAACACGGTTTCAGTATGTGCTAATATTTTTTTAAATTTTCACTGTGTCTTTTGTGTCTTTTCGTTACCAAAATTGTAACGTTATTACGTTTGCAAGTATAGGGGATATATTTGGATGCCCCTACATCTTTTTCCGCTCCACTGCTTTTCAGACGATCACTCTCCTGCAGCCCACAGCCTTAAGGGGATAGATGACCGGAATAATGCACCGCAGCTGAGCTCCAGCGAACGAGCAGTTACAGAAAATTCATCTCTCTTCATCTTGGACTCCCAATGATTACTTCTCTCTCAGGGGTTACACATGAGAGCACTGACTCCCATCAAAAAAGGCGTGGTCGAATAAACAAGGATCATGTGGAGCGGTCGCCTGCCGCAGTTTTCACAGAAACCATCGCGCAGTGGAGCGTGCTGGTCTGAAGGGCCGTCATGACACGAGAAACAAGACGTGCTTCTCCTACGGCTCCATCATCGGCTGGTCCTTCATCAGCTGCACTCATCACTGGGTCTTTACTATTGTTTCTTAATGACAGAGAAGATACAGCTCTGATTATCTACACCTGTAATTACAGCTCAGAGTGGACCGTTTAAGAAAAACCACATCACGGCTTTTGATTAATCAAAGGACGGGACACATTTATAATGAAGCCCCGTTGAGTTACAGTGATTACTGTCATAATTCACCAAAGCAGACGACGGTTTGTGAAGGCATCACTCTGACAAAGGTTTATAATTCTGAAGCATTTTTACATTTATTTCTGTCTATGTATTTCAATGACAGCTTGATTTCTGTGCTAAATGATCCTAAGATAAGATAATCCTTTGGTCTCAAACTCCTGGCCCGGGGGCCACTTATGGCCCACAAATTTCATACATCTGGCCCGTGAAGATGCATGTGATTTCATACATCTGAGATGCACGTGAATAATAATTTGCCCCCAGATTTTTTTCTCCACTTCTTTAAATGCTTTAATTGGTCATTTAAGAAAATATTTTTGAAAATATCAAAATGATGAAGGCAGTCTTTGACCTCGGCTCGTTTTAGGTTGAGATTTAAAGTATTTCATAGAAATAAAGCCAGAGTTGTGTTGGCCATAGCCCATCATTAGGTCTGTTGTATTTAAATACGGTACATTATATACAGAAAACATATATATATACACATCATATAGTATACAGTATATACTGTATATAATATAGTTGCATACAATTGTACAGTGAAGTATAGCTATCCTGGTACATGTGTATCACATAAATTTGAAGTAAACTGTAGCTCACACAATACTATTATTACATAGTGAAGTAATTCAAGGTCAATGCCGAAGCTGATCCTTACCCTCCCCTCAACCCCACCCCATTTTAGCTTTTACAATCTCTGTCATTGTTTAACATGCACTACTGCCACCTACTGGGTCTTTTTTACCACTGGTGAAGCTGATCCTTACCCTCCCTCAACCCCACATTTTAGCTTTTACAATCTCTGTCATGGTTTAACATGCACTACCGCCACCTACTGGGTCTTTTTTACCACTGCAAAAAAAATCATCATAATAGCGGTAAAAAGTTGTTTTTTTAAAAAAAAAAAATCATCATAATAGCAGTAAAAAGATGTTTTTTAAAAAAAAAAAAACTATTACTAGTCTTAGATTCAGCAAATGCTGCATGACAGTTAAGGTGTGTACTGCAGAAACTGCTCGTGTATATGGTAGACAATATTTTTTGTATTCAGTCAACAGGAAGTACTTGCTTCATTTGCTTACTTTTAAGCCGGCTTCAAACTCCTCAAATTTTGTGAGACATTCCCGCCTCTGTAAATGCTCCACCGAGTTCAACTAACAACAACAACAAAAAACACTCCTCCAACAGCAACTCCATCTGTGTCTCAGCAGGTAGCAAAAAAAAGTGGGTTTTAAAGCTCTCCTCACACCTTCCACCTCACCCCACCCACCCACACAAAATCAGCTTTCTGCTGTGACACAAAGTAATGGAAGTGAACCTCAGTGAACCCAAACAGTGAAGTTGAAAGTAGTGAAAGTGGAGCAGCTCCAGAATATATGTCTGTGCTGTGGTTGGAAGAAGAGGTTGAAACGTGACACGATACAATCACAGAGACGCACGATGAAGAAAAGCGATGATTGTGTCCGTTTAAGAAAAATGAGTGGAGATGTCCCCGCTGTGCCAGTGAGCACCGATGCAACCATTCACGGGCTCCGCGTGCAATGCGAGTCCGCGGTGTCGAGTTGAAGGGAGGGCTGGCAGTGACAGGTGCAGGCACCAGGTAACTGACATGATGCAAAGAGACAGGGCGATGAGTCACAGGGCCCTCAGCGAGTTCCCTCGCTTAACCTGCAGCAGCAGCAGCTTCCTAACTATTTATAGCCCTCCCACTAAAGTCCCACCACCGCTGACAGGAACGGGGGGAAAAAAAAAAAACTGGCTTCATTTTAAACTGTGTTTTGTTTCGGAGCTTAATGAAGACATAACAGTAAACCCAGCTCTGTTTATGTCTTAATAGATTTAATTAAAAAAAATCACACCACACTCTCTCTCTCACACACACACACACACACACAGAGTGGAACGAAACAGCCTGTACAGAGTGCATCGACACATCAGGAACAGCACCTCTGGTGATGTCGGGTCCTTAATTGTTCATTTGTCTTAGTGGACTGATGGGATGGAACAAAAAGCATATGCCTGCAAGTCATTCAGCCGCCTGTCGCGCCCGACTGACTCATCTCCTGCTACACCTGCAGACCCCGCAGCAGGATTATCAGTCTGATGTTGGTGAGCATTAATGATCATTCACCAGGTAATCCTCTTAGGTTTTATTTTCTCTTAAAAATCCCCTTTAAAGATACAGACACAGTGACAGAACTAAAAGCTGAGATGCCACAAACGTACAGGAAATATCTCGTGTTTTACTACGAAAATGTCATACTATGTCAACTATTAACTTTTAAATCAGACCGTGAATATAATCTAAATAACAGAAAGAATAGCAGTCTAATAAAGTAGGAATATATATATATATACACATATGTGTATATATATGTATATACATATATACACATATATACACACATATATACAGACACAAATATATATTAATTATATTTATTATTTTACAGTTGTAAAATTAGTTAAGTATTTATTATTTTTATCCTTAATGCTCTTTGGGGTCATGGAGAAGCTGCAGCCAATCCTAGCCCATTACAGGGTGAGAGTACGGTTCCTATTGGACAGTTTTCCAGATCATCAACAAGAGTCCAGCTGACCTAGTTCTGCATACTGTAGGTGGGAACCAGAGTACTCTGAATACAACTGGGAAATACATGAGAACTCTATGCAGTGAGTGTGAGTAGAAGTTGTCCACTAAGAAGGGTAGTCAATGTATCCCGCAAATCACCGCGGAATCAAGTGTACAAACGACGGTCAATACCTGAGCAATATATCCCATCATGCATTGCAGTCATGCCGACATGGCAGAGAGAGGAGCACCGTCCGTCCGTTCGTCCGTGTGTTTTGTGCAACAGAAATTAACTGCGCGCTAAAGTAACTGTTTTTTAACTGGTGAGTCCAATATATAATGCACTACATATAATCCCCTATAGAGGGAGTAGGGAATGAGTGAGTGATTTTGAACACAGCCTTCGTGTCAACTCCTAGTTGTGTCCATTGTTTGAGTCCCTCAGTCCAGCCTCGTCATTGGGTTCGATACCATCTAGACCCTGAATCCTAAGTTGGGTAGCCCTGACTGAGACTCTCCAGGGATGCAGCAAAAAAAGGACACCAAAACCAAGTCTGGTTTGTCCAACGTGTCCCCTTTAAGACTTTCACACAAACAACAATGTCTGTGTCAAACTAATTTACGTCTTCAATTCTACTCAGATTCTGAGTTTTCTGGTCCTGCATCACTGCCTCAGAGGGCATCCATCATATTAATGATGTAGAGGCAACTTCATTATTCACAAAGAAGCAGCTCAGCTGTCCGAATAAATTATCATCGGACTTCCATTAATGAAAGTTTCCAAACAGTGCCACTGAGGATGCCATTAATCTGAACCAGCTTCTCTCTCTGGAGGCCAACAGTCAGATACTGTACCACAGCCAGGACACTGTGAAGATGAAAAAACCCCCCGCCGTGTGGGGAACTTCAATTATGATTGACATTAACTACTGCAGCTCAAGGCTGAATTTCTCCCACGCTGCACACTTTGCATTTATTTCCTGCCCAACCCCAAACCCCTTAATGTGACGGTGTGCGTACAGGCGGAGGTAGACAGTGGATTAAGACCTCCGAGCTCCCTCCTCCTGACGGAGCATTTGGACTAATTTGACACATATTGCCTTCATATCTTAGATAATTACAGAGTCAAAGATCCCTCTTGACCCACTCCACGTCCATTCCCTCTGCTCCGGTACGCAGATGTAGGCCACAGTCCAGAAACTTTTGTTAATATTCCGGATGACCATCGGTGGAAGGACGTTGAAAAGTCATACGCTGTGCAACTTTCTGACGCTTTAATGAAATTGCTTCTGAAAATGTTGGCGTTCTGCAGCCATTATGCTTTTCATTCTGACAGCCTACTTGAGGGTCAAACTCATTTTCATTTTCCAAGGAATGAAAGAGGCTGTAAATTAATTTCCTTTTAACTCCTTCTACTATCTGACTTTACCACCAGACTGGAACAAACAATGGAACTCTCTCTCTCTCTCTGTAGGGGATTCATTTTAAGGAGGAATCTTAAGCAAAACAGTGTCTGGCCACGGTCTGAAGGGCTTGATGGTCAGCACAAATTTTTTGTGGGATTTTCTTTATCGTTGCTATCTATCCATTTATCCATCCAACTATGTGGGATTTTCTTTTTACATTATCATCGCTATCTATCCATTTATCCATCCAACTATATATACATAGATCTATCCATCCATCCAACTATCCATCCCATACATAGATCTATCCATCCATCCATCTATCCATCCATCCATCCATTTATCCAACCATCCATCTCAAAGGTGTAACAATGCTTTGTAAATTTTGCAGTGAAAACATTTTTTCCCCAAAGCCTCCAGGTCTGGAAGTTGTTCCTGGCAAAAACATTCCCATACACCGAGCTTCCTCCTGCTCCTGAAACACTGCTGCAGGGTTTAGAATCTCTCTATTATTTCTAAGTGGATCTCTCTGACCAAATAGATGAGGTTTTCACACAGCGCCTGGAGCCTAAGATGAGCCCCAGCAGCTAAAGGTCATTTATTCCTGTGGAAGTACACACACACACACACACACGTACATAGAGTTTACTTGGTCTGTAGTATACAGTATAATAGCTTATCTGTAATAAGTGGCAGCAGGGAAGCTCCTCCCTTTAATAATGTATTTTCACTTATTCCCCTCAGTCCCAGGAGTTCCTGCCACAGTCAGAGGTGGTCCATGGACATCAGCTTCATCCAAGTGCTTAATCAAACAGAAATACGGCAGGACAGCCGTGTGGGAAAAGCAGCTTAAATCCCCCCCTTTCTTCATAAAAGCCGACTAGGCAGATCAAATTAAGTGGTTTGATACTTTCCTTGCCAATCGGATTAGGCTGATTAATTCCCAAAAGCGTTTAAATGATTAAAGCTGTTTAATGGGTCTCGGGAAAGTTCACAGAGTCGGAGATGATATAAGGACGGGTCGGGGGAGGTAAATCTGAACAGGTTCCCTGTGTCTTTGTCCCTCTTTTTGTCAATGAGCAGCACAGCCACACCTGCACATCTCCGCTCTAATAATAGTCTTTTTGTTTCCTCACATCACCAAAACCAAAAGGGAAAATCTTGACAAATAGTGCATCCGCTCGGTAGTGACACTGTACCTAAATATAGAGTCGAAAATGGAGCAGGAGAAAAGGGCAGAACGAGAACCATAAATATTCACAGTTCAACCACAGAAGGCTGGCAGAAGCCGGGGTCCAAGGAGAAATCTTCTCTTTTCATGAAATCTGTTTGTGCCGCTGATGTCACAGAGGTGGGTTTTTTTAAGGATATTCCTGAGCTGTGTTTGACACAGATCCACGGCTGCTATGAAGGACGATGACGAGCGAAGGAAGGAGAGGAGTGATGGCTAAACTGTTCCACCCCTCCAGTACCCCCCCCCAACCATCTTTTCTAATATACCCGTCCCCTGAGGGAGTGGTATCCATCACAGAGACTGCGGGGTGGTTATGGCACGTTGACTGGAGCATGTGAACACAAGGTGACTCCAGAAGAGACACAGCCCATGTGTGTCCCCGCTCTTATGAATGCAGCGCCATGTTTCTCCCATAAAGTGTCCATCAGCACCTTAATGCATCTCCCAGGGAAAGTGACAGAGCCCAGGCTCGCACATTATTAACTCCAGACATTTTTATGAGTCGGTGGAACAGAGTGCTGCCTCTGAATAAGATATGGCTCCACAGCTACGTCGCTGTAGATCAGTCTTTGGATGATGAAAAATGTTTTTCACGTTTTCGACATGAGACTACAAGATCAAACTGGCTGGCTGTAAATATCCTAGCCATGTCATTATTATTATTATTATTGTTATTTTTCTCCAATGGGGTCTTAATAGGTTTAATTTTCCTGTGTGGAATCCATTATGGGAGCAGACTTTCCTGAACAGGAAAGACTATCTGTAATAATGTTATGTAAACTATGATAAATGGTGGCTTTGACTCATAAGCAGCTTTGCCGAGTGGGATTAACGACGCAGCCAAATTGGCAGGCTCATGATAAATGCATGGCACAACTGTAAAATATTAATCAAATATAAATGTGCAATGAATTTTTACAGGGGCTGAGGGCGGTGCTAAATTTAGACCGTCATAAAGTATAGCGTGTTGGCACAACTTTTTTTTTGTTTCTTTTAAACACCAGTTAAAATTGTGTGGAGAAACTCCAGGATGTAGAGTTTTATTGGAAAGCAGAAAACAAATGTTTGCCTCCAACATGGGCTGCTGGGCCCTGGGTGTTGATCGAGAGCGTCCCTGCAGAGCAGTTCTCTGACTAAACAAGGGACGTGAAGAACAGCATTAATTACTGCCTACATTTCAAATCATTTTTCTCTACTTTGGTTCCTAGTATTAAATGATTTAGGTTAAAGCCCCCTGTTAAAACAGTGGTTCCCAAAGTGGACAGACGGGGGCAGATAGAAGAAGTGTTTGTGTGAACTAAGATAAATGACATGTAAAAGTCATACATAAAGGCAAAAATGCTAAAATTATTTTAGTATTTCTACGCCATCTATTGGGGAAATAGATGGGTATTGCAGGGTAAAGGCAAAAGTATAATGATAATACAAGTAAATAATATAATTTGGAAAAGTTTGTCAGCCCGGATTAAAAAGCTGAACGGGCCGCATCTGGACCACGGGCCTTAGTTTGCCAATGCCTGTCCTAGGGCCACAGCAGGCAGAAGAATTTCACTTTTAATATAAAAACAAAAACCAAGAAGGTGAATGGGTGAAGAAAGACACCACACAGCAGAGGTAAGTAGCGCACAGTTGCACTGTTTTGCGGAGCTGTACACCTCCAACAACAGCCATTTTAACATCAAAACGATACATAAATTGACATCAGAAATGTTTTTTTTTTTTATGAGACAACACTTATACTTGCCACTCTCCAACAAGGCTTAGCTAAGCTAAGTCAAGCGCTCTATTTCTTGATTTCACCCATGGGTAATAGCGGTAGCATTGCAAACTGTATATTGTGCTGCTGCCCCCTACTGGATCAATTTAAGGAACACCAAACAGATGGTACGTACACAGCACTGTATTCTTTCTGTGACCTATTCATATTGAAGGAAAGTCATGCGTACTGTACCTTTAAGAACTTCATTAGTGGATGTGTAGAGTTAGAATCCAATAATAGTCCTATCAGCTACTAAAACCACAGCAAAGTTTCCAGGATGAGTTCTTATTAAAGTTCACAGCACAGTGATTTAAATGTTAAACTAATATCGCAGAATATATTTCAACCTTTAATACAGAGCTAATATTCTTGGTGCGCTTCGATTGTTTTCCGAATTTTCCTGCACCTAAGAATACATTTGTCTAACGTACTTTCACTTAGAGCTCCATGGCAACCAGGCTAATATTGAATTTGTGATATGTTTCGTTTAAAAAAAATAAACAGAGTAAGATTGAACTTAGTGAGTCATTAAATACAAATTACATTTAAATGAAATGAAAAATGATCAGAGGAGGTTCATTTCTCACTGGAGCTCCTCCTGCTCCATAATATACAGCTGTGTGTGTTTTACAGTAACTGAGGAGAATAATTAATTTGTGCTAGTAACAGAGAGAACATTAACTCCAATACACACACAAACACACACACACACACACACACACACACATTTCTAAAGTGTGAGGAAGCCTCCTGGGGCTGTGCCGACTACAGCAGGTGCCTGACTTCTCTTTAAAAAAAAAAAAAAAAAAAAAAGAGAGACTTTGTTTATACAAGGAGAGGAGACAGACCTGCTGGAGGTGCCAGTACTTTCCTTGGACACTGGGTGGACAGCTGGGCGGGGCCAGCAGGTTATGGAAATGCAGCACAAGATGTATTCACATATTTATTCATCTGAACAGCGCCAGTCCACTGCAGCAACACACTGGACCCAATGATACCGTCACTGGTCGAGTTTTATATTTTATATTCAGAAGGTTATATCGTATAAAGAGGCTTTTAATACATTATTTATCTTATGGTTTTGTTATTGTATTTTTTTTTGACCACATTGTTTATTAATGGAAAAAATATACATACACACATATATACATATGCATATATACGTATATATATATAAATACATACAAATATGTTTGTATATGTTATTTATACAATATATAAATACATATATAAGTATATGTAAATATGTATGCCTATATGTATATAAGGTGACAAAAAAACGCCTATGAAATAAAATGTAATATATATACACACATACATATATATATACATATATCTATAAATATAGAGATACAGTATATGTATATACCTTTTTTAAAACTCATTTTCGTAAGTTAAAAAAAAAAAACTAGAAATACAGAATTAAAAGATGAAATTTGTTTCAATATTATATATTTTTGTGGAACAGTTTCACAGTTTCTGTTCAGGGGGTTCGGGGGATGACAGAAGGACCACCACCTGGGCTCTGTCTATCTTTGCACGGCCCTGTGGAAATGATCGGCGCCGCTCGGATATAATGGAGTTTACAGCCAATCCCCGCCCTTGTTGTCTGAGCCGGAGCGGAGTGTGAGACTGTGCGTAAAATCTACCTGTCAGACGCAGCAGCGGTGCCACAGCAGGAGCAGCGGAGCTCCGCGACCCGAAGTCCGTTCCTCCACAGACGCTTTTACTGCCACCACTACACCGGACACATTATATCTTGCTGATCGGACTCGGGTTTTTTTTTTATTGTTATTATTATTATTATTATTTGTTTCCCTTTAAAACTGCCGGAGTGAAGTATTGAGGTGCGTCTGTTTGTCTCCATCGACTCAGTTGAGGGGAGCGGAGGAACGATGATCAGCAAACCTGCGGGAGGATTTACCACGACAGGTAAGATGATGTTCAGACGTGTTATTTATCACGAGAGTGGATTGGAAATATAAAAAAAATACCACTGTGAGGTTTTCCTCTGGAGGAATGACCGATCGAACCGCAGTGTGGAGAGAAATAAGTAGAAGAAGAATCTGCTATTTACCGAGAAAAGGAGAATTTGACACAAAAAGAAAATAAACAGTCGCTGTTTGCATTTCTCCATCTCTCACACACACACACGCACGCACGCGCGCGCATCTCCGTACATCTCTCTTTCTCTCTCACTGGTTTTATCTTCTCGGTATTCCTAACCCTAATCCATAATCCTAACCCTCAGAACTAAACCCTGAAAACGTCTGGGAGTATGAAGTGTGGTGACAGCCGGCTAAAAATATTCCTCACACTGTCATCCTGTCTCCCCAAAAAAAAAAAAAAATGTTGTCTGCACAACCTGCTGAGGAGTTGGGCATGTAAAAAACAAGGGTGAGGCAGAGGGGTGAGAGTGTCAACAGACAGACAGAGGTGCAGTGTTGAAGCACACGTCCTCCTGTCAGGTGAATGACTTGTTGTTGTTGTTGCTGTTGTCTAATGTAGTGTGTACTGCTGTGTCCCTGTCATCTGGTGACTGCCTCACTCAGATTAATGTTAGGAAAGGAGACGGAGAGGCTGAGAGCAGAGACGCAGGCTTGATGATGATGATGATGATGATGATTACCTCCAATCAGATTTTTTAAAATAACCCCTTATTTAAATAAAACAAACAAACAAACAAAAAACCAATCAGATTTTAATAACCCCTTATTTAAATAAAACCAAAAAATAATAATAATTAAAACACACTACCTGCCCGCGTGTCACTCCTTCATTCGGTGTAATCTCTCAGAGCCGCTGACTGTACCATGTTGCCGTCATCGATGCCTCAAAATGTAGGCCAAATGTACTCCTCTGGAAAAAGAGGGAAATAATTAGGTTATATACTTTATCTCTGCTGCTATCCAGAGCAATGGATACTGAACACGTACTTCCTGTACATACTGTACTCTCTTTATTTAAGGAGATTATACTGTTGAATTTAGTTTACAAAAATGAAATTATTTCACCAAGCTCAAACCTCTCAAAGGTCAAGATCATTTTCTTTTAGTGAGGTAAAAAAAAAGCTTGTCTGAATAAAGATTCTTTAATAGAAATGTTGCCTGTGAGATTTTACTTTTGTACCAAATATTGATTGTAATTTTCAAATAATAATAATTTTTTTACTTGATTTATACTTGATTATTCTACGATTTGTGACTAATACCAGTTAAAATGTTCTAAAGAATTCTCAGTCTTAAATAATGCATGTCCTTCAAATGAACTTGAAGTAGATGGTGCTAAATCCTTTATCTGTACTGTACTCTGAATAGGTCTGACTTTTATTTATGTTTATTTTTTTAACGTCATATTTTGCAGAGTACTTGTGGGGGTCTTTGTCTGTCAATATCAATCACATTTTGAACATTTAAAGACAATTGACATCACTGCAGATGTGATTAATTGTATGAATAACTTTACTTAACTCACTGTTTTCCTCTAAATGGGATTACAGTTTAAATAAGTGATATTAGCCTTGGGAAAAGACAGGTGATGAACACAGCAGTGAAACCTTTTTGAACAATTTTTGAAGTACAATGAAGCACTGTTTATTTCCGATTTGCCTCCATTCAAGTTACTTCAGACACATCTACTGTATGTGAGCAACATCTGGGTCAGTTTTAAGACGGTTCACTTAGCAACATTAGTTTAGAGTCAATGGTAGTTGTTCCCAAAACCAAAACAAAGAAAATACCCTAAGAAAACACAGCTACTTGTGTGTCACACCTGTAGCATCTCCACACCCACTTAGGGTGACCTCGCCCCCTATTTTGGGACTCACCTGACCAGTCTATGTTCAGAAATTACATACAGCTCTTCTCTTTCTGTACTCTGTGGAAAGGTCTACTTTGTCCTTGTGCATTTTCACTTCTATAGGTATAATTTTAAAAACAATACTTTAAATAAAATCGAGTTTGCGATGGTAAATTTGCTGAATTAGATTCATCAGTCAGGTGCTAATTAGAAGCCTTTGTTCCTCAGTGAACGACTCTCGTTATATCATCGCATGAGTTCCTATTATATATTTTACTTCCTCTTCGTTAGTTCCTCTCCACTCGTCCATTTTAGGTCGGGGAGGCCGGATCACACACGAGTCAAAGTGATCAGTATGCAGTGTGAAGTACAGCAGCACCTGCCGTGTACTTTCTGCTGTTTTAATATCAGCAGCTGTGAGGAGTGGTAGATTTTTGCTTTTTTCTGGACGTGGTTTTATGAATCTGTGGGCGTGAGATTCAACAGTTGAACACAGCAGATGGTAGGGTTTATGGAAGGAAAGCTGACAGGGAGGTTCTGTGTACTGAAAGTGTACTTCATTAGGCAAATACAGAGTGGATTTATGAATCTTAACTTCATCTGTTGTCTGACCTGGACTTTGTTCTCTTCTACAAGGTTCCTACAACAATCAAATCCTCCCTGGTCTCCGGCCTCTGACCCTGTAGTGGTACCTGCATCACCATGGAGAGTCTCAGTGAGCTCCAGAACCCCCTGCTGGACAAAACCAGCAGACACGTGGTCCAGAACGACTACCAGGGATACCAGTGTGAGTACCGGAACCAGCCGTACCAGGACGGCCTCATTGGCTACTACTACACCGGGACTAATGACAAACACAAGACGCAGCAGTTTCTGGACGCCACCTCCCTGCATCTTGCCGTGGAGGCGTTTTACGGGCCTAACTTTATTCTGTACAAAGACAACGTGAGTCTTCACAGCAAGGACTCCAAGAGCGAGAGCTTCGAGACCACCTTCACAGAGACCAAGGACGCCGTGTCAGACGGGGTGTTGACAGAAAACAGTGCACAGGCAGAGAAGGATGCCAAGATCCAGACGGTGTCGTACGAAGTGGAGGACGAGCAGGGACCTGAGTATGAGGTCAGAATTTACTCCAGATTTATTCACAAAAACAAAACACAGGTTTTATTATCTTCTCCTCTTTAGTCCGTTATTAGCTGGTTCACGTCCTACAGGTTTACAGCATTTCATCAACTTGGGCTAATGGTACCAGTGGAAACCTGGATCAGGGCTTTCTCAACAATCCAAGGTGATAGTCTTTGGATACAAAAATGAAACAATATTTAAATAGATACATATAAAAAAAATAAATTCCAGTTGTATCAATTGCCTGTCCTTTACCTTAAACTGCCATATCTTGGTTAATGATTTAACCAAATATTATCCTAATTTTGATTAGTAACTTCGAGCATGTTTTTGACATATCTCGATAATAAATGCTTTAATTCCGTGACATGGATATTTTGTCAAACCTTAGCTATGTTTAGACCAGTTGTTTTCTGTCATGCCCCCTCTTGAGGACGGAAATGTTTTGCACAACCCCCTTGACCAAATTGAAATACTATTGAGAACTTTATAACGTATATTTTCATCTGTACAAACCACTATACGAGTTGCTGCCACCAAGTGACTGGAGGCTTGTTATCAATCAAGCATTACAGCAGAGGTACACTTGTGTCCAGCGGGACTTCTAGTTGCATACCCAAATAGATAGCTCAGGGCAAGTTAGCTACACAGCTAGTCAGCTAGCCAGATAGATAGATAGAGCAGCACCAGTGAGCTAGCCAGATAGATAGATAGAGCAGCATGTTTTAGCAGACCTTGGCTGCACAAATTTAAATAGTCACGAACACAAACCCTCATTTTCGCTGCAGGAAGTTTGAAGGTGAATAATATAAGGTTACAATATTAAGTTGCTCTTGAGCTTTTTCCTTTCTCATAATTGTCAGCCTCATCTCTCTGCAGAGAAGTGACAGCAGTAATGACGATTGCTGCGTTTACCCTTCTACTACACTGCCTCTGTGATCGATTTGATCCTTATTTCCCACTGTGTTCTCTAAATGAACAATTTAGACGGTCTTTCAAAATCCACTGCGGGGTAATTGCACACTTTTGTATCATAATTACACATGAAGACTGACACGTCTGATTTGGCCTTCATTATTGGCCATTTCTTCTTCTTCTTTCAGGCCTATAACCGAGGTCTTGTCATAAATATATGTGACAGTAAAAAGAGCAGAATCTCTTCAGAAGTGCTTAAACTTTAATATAATCCAGAGACACCAAAGGCTGTGATGTGACAGAGGAGAACATATAGAGGGTTGATGATTGCACCAGGACTTGTCACTCGGAGGCCTGGCAGATAGATAGAGAGGCGGGGGCAGCTGCCATTAATGTCCTAACTAAGCCATGCTTTGAGGGTATTACGTGGGACAGCCTGGCTGACAGATCAGGTGAGCCTGGAGCTAAAGTTATTCCAATTTAGAGGAGCAAATCAATCGGAAAAAACGTATATCCGATGAAAGTTAAGCTCCAACCAGGAATATGAGGGTTCTCAGACGACACCTGCGTTTTCTATATTTTCTCTCATCGAGCGTTTGTTTGTGCACATGTGGCGGCAATGAGATTCATCTTCCTTTGTTCATAAGAATGTAAAACCTGCATCTTGTTGAATATACAGAGGGCAATATTCCAAGACTTAAATAGAAAACAGCAGATGCACGAACGCTTTCTGTGGCGTTAAATCCAAAATACGGAATTTTTAAAACCATATGGACGAGACACAGATGAAAGAGTCTGAAGCTTCAGAACAATCCAATGTTTTGCATTGTAGCTTTGCTGCACTAAATCCGACGTGGATATGTAGTAACTGAGTATTTGCCAGTACTTAATCCTGAATTGATCCAGGCGATTAGCAAAGTATTACAACCAATTAATCTCCATTTTATTTAGAGGGAGACAAGTAAATACTGCGAGTTAAAAATGTATAACATCTGCATCGTTTGTTGAGCATTAACTCTCGCCTTCTGTTGGAAGATGAAGGAATTAGTCCTACGTGGAAAGCTAAAGACAAAAAACAAAAAATGTTTTGAGATTAACAAAAATTAACTTTAAGCCAGTGGAGCTCAAAAATGGTGGTCCGTGGTCTGCATCCAGCCCACAGGACACAGAATTGCGGACCGCAAGCTGAACACGTGCAGTTAGGCTGTGTGGTGAGGTCAACATTTGTATGTAAATGAGTTCAAATGTCATGCTAACGATGAGCTGACGGCAAGAACGCAATTTTTTTACTTTTGCTTTTGAAGCGGTATCGATACTTTCTACACGTATGTACGTTTTTGAACTCTGTAGATCCTTGATTCATTTCAGTCCATTGTCATATTAAGAGAGAAAAAGTATTCTGTAAGCCCACACCTGTATACTGGACATCATTAGTATTTATTTAGATGTATGTTAGATTTTTTTTAATTCTTTTTTTATTATTATTTCTGTTTTAAGGCTTGTGGCCTGATCAAATTCTTTTTTTTTATTATTTCTGTTTCTGTTTTAAGGCTTGTGGCCTGATCAAATATATTAAATGGGGCGACTCATTGTAAAATGTTTGCATGTGGGCGTCCATGTTGCATCACCAGCTCACTTTGACCTGCGGCTTGTTGAAAAATGTCTTTTTGGACCTTTAGAATGCGTACTAATGTGTACTTTTGTATCCCTGCTTTAAGCCATATTCAGATAGTTGAAGTACAAACAGAGGAAAAAAACAAAACCAACAGCCCAGCAGCCAGTGTTGGTTTGTTTGTGTCTGCCTGACATCTGTGACAGAGAGTACATAAATTACAACAAAGTGTAAAGAGTATGTGGTTAATACCACGTGTGTGTGTGTGTGTCCCTGACACTGACAGGGTGAAGGTCTGTTGTAGAGCTGGATGTTCCCTGAGTCCAGGCTTGAACAGGGAGTCAGAGGAGCTGTGACAGCGTTGTTAAAGCCACTCGGCTCTGCTGCGGCCACGTCTACTTTTACTATCGTCACTCTACACCTGGATAGTGGCTCCCCAGCCGGTCGGAGTCGCTGTCGGGCGGACAGCCGAGGCGCAGCAGTCACTCAGGACTGTTATCAGCTTTTCCAAAGATAAAAGAAGATTACTTTTTGTGGCCAACAGTTTATTCACGCCCTGTCAGGCGACGTGGTTATGACCATCTGCCGCTGCTTTGATGGATCACACCCCTGGCTGTCCAGGTGGACACTGTTCATAAAGCAGATAACAGGAAGTCTCATAAGCCGTCCTTGGAAGAGATAGCTGTGCTGAAACAGTTTGGATAACAAAGCTTGCTGCTGTATCTAAATAGGGTTTCAACAACAAACGTCTCCCGATATTAAATGTAAACGTAGAGCAGAACTGAGGCTCAGGTTCTTCTTTGTTTGGCTGCATCACCGGCTCTCCTTTAATTACCTCTAAAAGTGGTCGGTTCACTTCCTGCCTTAAACATCGATTTCTGTTTTGTGCCTTCCTTTTCCCCCACTTTGATTGATCCCTGCAGGCAGCAGGACGAACAAATGAAACCGGCCTCTTATGAGAGCTATTCATTCAGACAGGCATCGAGTCTGTCTGTGGGACAGCTGAGTGAACCGGGGCCACGTCCTCTTAAAGGTCAGCCATGCAGTGACATTGTTTATCTCACTGTAGACAGGATGCGATAGTAATGTCCGATTAACACTAGAACGTACAGGCTCAGCCTTGAGGTTTTTGTCGTTGTAGTTTCATCGCTATGCCTGCTGTCAAACAAATAAATAAAACCATAAAACTACAACTAAAACTCAGGTAAAGAGTTCTGGTGTCTGGATGCCACACTTTCATCTGCTGCTTTTAAAGCCGCAAAAAATACGTCACGTCTCGCCACCAAAGGAAACATCAAGAATCACAGACTTTGTGTTTCACCTTGAAAGATAATATCAACAAAACACCGAACTGTCAAAACAAAGCAAATGAGTAGTTTGCGTATTGAGGACACCTAATGGACAACCAGTGTTTTTAAAGATACTGGTAACACCCAGCAGCCACGGTTTAGATGTCTCATTCTCCAGAGGCAATTTAGAACATAAACTGTTTGTTTCCCATTTCCCTGTCACCCAGCAATGACGGAACAATCCGTTAATCCTGTGTTATCTGTCAGGCTGTTGGTGGTGTTGACAGAGGCAGAAAACTTTTCTGGCTGCATGAGCACAGTGTGTGCAGGTTTGGTTGTGGAAGTGCAGAAACAGGGAGGTCAGAGAGGAGTCAGAGAGTACTACTGCAAAGTCTGTCGGTCTGTCCACCCTGCACCTGATTATCCACATCAGGTCTGGCTTCAGAATTACAGTTACAGCTAGTCTTGTCTCTATGTTGTTGTCTGTTTCAAGGTCTTGTTGGCAGAGATCTGTTACGGTTTGTTTGTATCCTAAACGTTGTGTAAATCTTGACACGTCATTAGGTAACTTTCAAAGGCATTTCAAGTGAAGTTTAGGATGCAATACAAATGTGGGCCAGTAGGGACTTCTTATTCTTAGCTGCAGTAACTTTGTGATGTGAGTAATATGGTGTTATTTATTAGGAATATCTTGAATACTATTAAATAATTTGATTATGATTAACCGATTAATTGTCATAAGTGGAATTAATCTTAACTAAATAACATATATACACCTGCAAATATAGACACATGTATACATATACATAAATATATACAAATATATGTATATGTACATATATTTGTGTTTATATCTCTTTATAACACACAAGACTGTCTGAGGACTAATCATGAACTACCATCACTACGTGAGCTGTGAACCAAGGATGAGACCTTGTCTTACAAGCGTCTGCTGTTGTCAAGTAAAACTTAAAGGGAAATTTGAATTTCACCCAGATGATGTGACAAATAAAGTCACACATTTGACCCAATGTGAACTCACGGTAAAAAGTTTTCATCCAACAAACCCAGTACTTCATGACCTCACAGACTGTACTGCATTTGGCACCCTTCACAGTTCAGGTTTTTGACTTGTACCACACCACAACAAACACAATAATATACAAAAAGAAAAATGTTGCGTGAGAAGGCTGAAATAACAGGACATCCACAAGGTCATGGTCTCTGGGGCAAAACATAGTTTTACTTTGAAGCATTGAGATGTAAATGATCAAGTCCATAACATGTTACAATATAAATTGTGAATAAACCGAGTGAGAAAAAAATAAATCACACTCTCTGGTAGATAAAGGCGTTTCGAGTTACTTCCATTGTATTTTCTCTGCGTCACATTTTCAACCAGATGGTCAGATGTGTTTTTTATGCGAGGACATAAAAAACAATTAGTAGTCATGCAAATAGTGACTATGATGGGAATGAAAAAGACGACAAATGAGTGGGAAGCTAGACGGACACAGACCTTCACGTCTGTGGTAAAGATAGATTAGCAGATGCAGAAAGGCATGGCAGCTCTCTGCGGACTGGGAATGCAGTAAGTATAACATGAGCCTGGAAAAATATTATCATCCTTTCCTGACATTTAATTATTCTTTATCAACCCGCTGTCTTACAGAGTGACAGCTCCAGCGACAGCGAGAGCGAGGACAACTTCATCGTGCTGCCCCCTCGGGACTACCTCGGCCTAACCATCTTCTCCATGCTCTGCTGCTTCTGGCCCTTGGGCATCGTTGCCTTTTACTACTCTCACAAGGTAAAGTCCCCGGGACCTCGCGTCTGTCATTAACTCTGATTAGACTGCATTCTGTTTAAGGTCAGTGAGCACAAACACAGGAGCGACCGCAACCTATTTTCCAAAAACGACTTTTCTGTATTCCATTAAGGAAATTAGCATTTACTGTAGGCTCTGCCAAACAGAACACTTTGTATCAGCTCCACACTCCTTACCTTTATGTTTTATTTCTACATCGTCGGGTGTTACTGGATAACTTCTTCTTCTTCTTTCGGCTTTGTTTAAATTTTCAACACACCCTAAAGCAGCGGTGACTAACTATATTTATCAAAAGGACAGAATTTTCTTTGACAGGCATCCCCATACACACACACAAAGAAAAAAATGCTCAAATGAGCACACATATAAAACATATATATGTATAGTCTGGATTTTTTTTTATTAATTAAAATGTCAGCAGAGATGTTAATTTACATGTCTGTGTGAACACAAAGGGAAAATGAATTGAGACTGTCAACCGAATAATACTGTTGACAACAACTTCACTGAAGTTTTGAAGGGAACTCAGCACATTCTACAAGCCACAGTCAGGACGCAGTGGTGACTAAAATTTGGAAAAAAATTCAAGTTTATTTTAAGTTTATTTCTCCATACTAATAATTCCATCCAAAGATGGAATTATTAGTACGGAACAGTTTTGAGACAAAACTATCTACTGGCAGTTTTTCTGTTACATTTTGGAATGACTATTAATCTCAATTAATCATGATTAATTGTTATTAATCCACAGTCGTCCAGTCGTCCTCAGATTAAAATTATAAATCGTATGACAGCCGTATGCTATAGTCAAACCCACTCTTTGTGTACTTTTCTGTACACAAAGTACAGCTCATGCGGTGCTTTTCAAACAAATTATAGAGTTTCCTAGTGTTTTTTTAAAATATCATCCACAATAATTGCAGTGACAATTACACCGGAACAGAAAATGTGTCAGAAGAATAAATATAGGCCTGGCTCCATTTTTGATGGGAAACCAAAACAATGAAAACAACATATTTGTCACTGTCAGAGGTATAAAGACCTAATTGCCATGGTAACTAATGGCTAGCCAACAGCATTTCTTCTTGTTTTCTCTTTTTTTTTAGCCGTGGCTCAACACCTACTCATACACTCGGTGCTGATGAGTAACACACTGGCTCATTTCACTCTCTGCTTTGTTTTGTCAGACCGGCAAGGCCACAGCTAAAGGAGATTTCTCCAGGGCAGGAATAAGCTCCAGAAGAGCCCTGTTCTTGGCTGCTCTTTCCATAACCATTGGAACAGGCATGTATGTGGGGGTGGTAGTAGCTCTCATAGCCTACCTGTCCAAATCTGGACACGTATAACACTAGAATCAGCTTGCTTTAGGGGGAGACGGAAGGTGAAACGAGGCGACGGTGGAAGACAGTTGGACAGATTTCTGCTGAAAGTATTTGTCTCTGCTGCTACCGGCTGTGCACGGAAAGAGGCAGTGTGCGGTAAGACGCAGTGTGCACCAAGGTCTGGACCAAATATTTGTTTGTGGGACGCAACAATGTTTGTCAACGCCATTGCAGACAAAGGAGAGTGAAGGAAAAGAACCCTGCTTTTCCACGCACACAAAAATCTGTGTATTTACTGTACATTGTAAAATGTAATTGTACTTATGACGTGTAATGAAGTACACACAATACTCGTTCCCACTGTTGGACATAAACATACATGTCAGCTGCAGAAGTGAACATTTGGAGAAAGGTTTAAAAAAATACGGCTTGTAAAGTTTATCATCTCAAACATTTTAGGTTTTCATCTAATGACTCTAAAATGACAATCCCATTTGGAGGAAAAAGACTGGCGACACGCAAGACTGGAAGTTTGTGAATCAAAAAGGATGGCTGCATATTTCAAAAACGTATTTTTTGTGTAATTTTTTTAAAAAAACTATCAAATCAAGTCAATTTAATTTTATTTTTTGTGTAATTTTGTTTTTTTAAAACTATCAAATCAAGTCAATTTAATTTGAGACTAAATCTAGAAAATACATTTTTCAGAGTTTTTGCATTTATTTAGAATAAACAATACACAAAAAAATATATATATTACTCTGTTGAAACCATAACTGATTTAATTCAGAGGTATACCCAAGCATTAAACTGTGTACTTAAGTATATTTCACATACATGACCTTTGGTTTTCCCATTAGCCTTTTGTGTTTGTTTACATTTACAGGTGTATTTGTGTTCACATGATTACAGGCGCTGTACTGTACATTCTGTAAATTAACTTCTGGGTGAAGAAAAAGGGAAACAGCCTATTATATGTTTGTGTGCGCGACCTTTAACATGAAGGGATCAAAGGTGACGTTTGAAGAGTCTGCGGAGCCGAGCTGTGGTCGAGAGTGTTCGCCGTGTTCTGTAAATGTTGTCAATAAACACGTGGCATGAATATTGAAACAACGTGGCTGTACATCTCTTGTTCTTGTAACCGTCATCTCTTTAGAGCAGCGAGTATTTTTACCACCGTGCCGAGGGGCATGCAGATATCTGTAGACCATATTTTAATGCAAGTTGGGGAAAGAAGTGATTTGCATCGAATGCAAAATGAGCAGTTCTTAAACGAGAATGTAGTTCAGGAGCCAGTCTGCTGACAGGAAAGAACAAGAGGCTCAGGGCGGCTGACGACGATGAAGATTTTAACAAAAAATAAGAGTTGAGACAGTGAATTAACTGTTTCAACTTCCACAAGTTGACACATTTTACAGTATTTAGAGTAATTCTATCTAGAATGGTAGCATTAACAAAATGTGTATTCGACCTCACAACTACAACAAAATCAAACCTAGTGAGACGAGGAAATTCACACCGACGTCGGAGGATCTTCTGCTCCTGACCTTGATTTTTTAATTGAAACGATCAATGCTCACGGTCCAACGTTCCACTGACTGCCCTTCATCATCAGCCTGTGCTCTGAAAATATGCAAATTACTACAGACAATTTTTTTTCTAAAAAGGACAGATTTTGTCTACTTGTACTGCTTTAACTTCATGATTTCACAGAACAAGGAAACTACCTTTTCGGATTTCGTGGAAAGAACAAAATAATTTCTCAGTTGTGATTGTGTTGAACTGAAGGCTTACTTGGGTTTAAGTATTTTGATATATACGTATATATCTGCTTTCCGAATAAGTTGTGGATGTGATTTTCAGTGGACATTTTTGCTAAATAGGAAAAATAAACAGGAAAAAGAAAATGTGAATCTTGTGCTACATTTGATCAATTTAGAGCATTTTCAGTGCAAAAAAAAAAAATTAAAATCTAAAACTGCCATTCCTTGGAAATATTACAACAATAACTTATGTAATAATATCCTAATAGGATTAAAACTATTACAACAATAACTTGTAATAATATCCTAATAGGATTAAAACCCATTAAAAATATTAATTAAAAGTGAAAACATTGAGGTCAGCTTTATTTGATTTTACTTGACTCACTTGTAAGTCAATAGCTACTCTCCCGTGAGTCCAAATTAACTGTTGTGGACTGTGACGACTACACACACCACCAGGGAGAGGATCAGGTGACAACATATGGATCGTGAGGTGGGAGCAGCCCGCCGTTGCTGGTGTTGTATTGACTTTTTGGGATTGCAGACACACGGCCGTCTCTGTGTCTCTGTCTCTGGGCTGCACTGCCTTCATTGTCCAGCCTTCAGGTGACTTTTGCTGCCAGAAAGCTGAGAGAGTCGACCCGCTCTCCAGAGTGGAGATGTCAGAACAGAATGAGAACAGCACTTCATCCTCCTCCAGGATGGAGAGGGATCATTGTGTACAACCTCTTCTCTGTCCTCCCCTGCCATCCAATCAGAACATAGGTCTGCAAAGCTAGAAAAGTACCACAACAAACCGTGTGTCTGCTCACTTTTCAGAGAGCATTGATTACACACCAAGTCCAAGAAGCAGAGAGGAGATAGTACAGAGGGAGCAGTGAATGATATGTGCTCCGATAAGTGGGAAGGCAGGCGAACAGCAGAGTCTGACACCTTTCTTTATCTGTTCTCTTTTTTTGGCTGCCCTCCCAGGTCTGCACTGTAGGAAATTTGGCTGGGTGGGGAAGACGGGGGCGAAAAGTGCCGCTCTCATCAATGGTATCTGTATGGGACGCTGAAGTGGGCTCACTCTATGCGAGCGAGTGCGGTGCTACATGTGTTTTCTCTCTCCTGCAGTAGATAGGAAACATCACCCACGCCTGTTCGCACACTCATGGAACACACCGGTGGATCAGACTAACTAAAAGCAAACTGATTTTATTAGTCATCCGCCCACATGTGAATAAAAACTTTCCAAGAGCCTGCATCGATTCCAGTCTGAACTTCTGCAAATGTTTTATAACGGTAAAAAATGACATCCTCTCTAAACCTAGGTTTGAACTTTAACAAAAACCCCAAACACCAGTGACGTCATGTTCGAAGTCAATAAGAGCTCCTCAAGGCTCTGGGAGAGAGGCAACAATGAGTCAATCACGATACCGATATTTAAAAATTCCGATTCTTTTGACACCACATGGAGTAGTTTTTGCTTTACAGCATGTGTAAAACTAAAGGCCCTTGGATGGAGTGTGGCCCATAAAGTCATTTTGTGTGGGCTGCGGGAGATTAAAAAGCATTTAATTGCCTTATGATAAAGTCTATGCTGCTCCAGAGCGTATACTGACCATGAATAACAACTACAACAATGCAATTCATGCAGTAACTTTGTGCTGTAATTAAGTTTGACTGTATTAAGTTTTCATGTTCTCTGGACAGTAAGTTGTATTAAGTTTTCATGTTCTCTGGACACTAACGTCACCATTAGGGGCATAAGAAAATATTAATGACAATAAAATATCGTGATCTTGTTTCACAATACCATATCAATATAGATATTCTACAGCACTGTATCAATTTCTTCATCAACAATTTACATGCAAATATTCAAGACATTGGTTCATTTTATTTTGCTTTTATTTCTTTTCTAGAAATGTAGAAATGTAGATCCCTCTGTTCACATTTCAGTAACCTGTAGCAACATTGTGTGTTTACCATGGTGACAGTTTTGCTACACTGAAATAGCTTTAAAAATAAGTATTTGTATCGTTGTACATACAGTATCACAGTATATGGCATTATATCATATTGTTGCCTCTATATCATGATACGTATCAGATTGCAAGATTTATGCCAATACACATCAATATCTACCATGGACATCAATGTGAGTGTGAGAGGTTTTAAGTCTACATACAACTGGACTGGTGAACTGTCCAGAATGAACCCGACTCCCACCAACTCCCACCCAATGACTACTGGGATTGGCCCAGTTCTCCCATCAACCGTGAACAAGATTAAGTGGTATTAGAGTGAGTTGGTGCTGATGGGTGGCAACGATGCAGTACATTCCCGTGGTAAAGTACTGCCCTTTAGACTTCATTGCCCTTAAAACTATAGCATTCACAGAGTGATTTTAAAGGACCATCGGTCAATATCCAGCACTTCATGACCCTTCATGATCACTGCCGCCTACATCGTGAGTACACAGAGAAATCACTGGGTCAATTAAAGTTGTATTTTGTCAAGGTTTAATAAAATCATACCCCTGATGTCACGTCAAGCAAATGGCACTCAATAAAAACAAACAGAGGTTGCCATGAAGTGACGTTTAAGCGAAGAGGAAAAAAACAATGATAAACGACCTGCAACAAAATGGATATGGAAGCGAAACGCAGCAGGAAACAAAAAGACATTAGAGCCCAGAGCTGCATCAATAAGGAGCATGACGCTCTCGACTGTTCATGCGTTTGAAAGGCATTTTCAGGTTCTTATCGCTGCTCTGACAAAACACCTGTCTCCACTTTGAGTGCAGTGACAACATAAGGCATAAACAATATCTAGAGTTTGTGCCATGGGTTTGAAAAAGATTTTTTCCCCTCAGGAGATGGCAACAATTACAGTAAATAAAAGCTGTATACAGCAGCCTGACTTTGTTTTATTGTGGGGAAACAGCAGTGTGTCAGATGTAACAGTGCTGTCCTCAAAAATGAGCTTCAGCAGAAACTATTTTAACTCAACCAAACCCACAAACCAGGAGATTGAACCGAAGGCTGTTAATGCCGACTCCTGAAATCTCAGCAGCTGTGGTTATCTCCTTTTTAGTGGAAAAAAAAAATGTTCCCAGCTCCTACTGGTACACATATTTCTCTAGAAATCCAGTTTGTTCAAACTTTGAAGGGTTATTGAAATTTAATGCAGTTTGGGTTTTTTTATATACTGACGTTGATATATTTATGAATGTAACACATTTTTAAATATTCCAAGGACACATCAGGCAAAGATGGAGAAACATTAATGTCCTTGAGACTATTCTCGCCTTTGGAGAGTAATAAAGAGAATCGTGTGAATCTAGTCTGACAACAAAGACATTATTTTCCTCCTCTGTGTAATATACGTATCTGAATAAGTGTGTCTTGAAAGACAAGGTCCCTGCGGTGAAGAGTGAAACAGAGTTTGTTATGCAGTCATCTTTCTTCATGTTCCTTAAGGAGAATTCACATCAAAGTCTGTTTACAGGTCCTGGCACACGACGGCAACGTGTAGAATACAAAGAGAGGTTTGGCACAAAGCCTTTCAGAGTTGAAGGGGAGCCGAGCGAGAGATGATGAATTACTTTGACTTACGCTGAGTCATTGTCAGTTTCGCCTGAAGAAGCTGAAGATGATAAAAG